CAACAGAGAGCCCAATGCACGTGGCATGTTCTTGGCCACAAGAGCCTCAAGCATCATCAATACCATCAAACAAACTCTTTTATTTAAATCCACAATTCCAAACACAACTTTGTCCATAGGTGTGCCTACCTCATAAATATAGACAAACCACTAAGATCAAGCATGCAGTGAATGTGTGCCTACGTTATAAATATGGACATTCCACGAAGATCATGCATGAAATGAACGGTTCAAATGATATTTATATGTACATAAAAAACAGTACATAATGCTGCACTTTATTTATTTTGATTGTTTTTTGAAAGATAAAAGAGACCTAATATATATACCAACCCAACGACTAATTTTTTATTTATTTTGATTGTTTTTTGAAAGATAAAAGAGACCTAATATATATACCAACCCAACGACTAATTTTTGGCAGAGATGAGTATGGTTCGGATTAGTTTGGTGTGGAATAAAATCATGACCAATTCATTATCCACAATTTCATAAAAATTGAACCAAATCAATCAATTTAAATTATGAAATCAATCCGAACCAACCTATATAAATATGATTCGGCTTGGTTTGAAATCACTATTTCATATCTGTTCACAAACAAAATCATGCAACATTTTCATTTTAACATTAATCTGCCCATGACTTTTTGAAACATAAAGATGCATATAGTTCTACAACTAATATAAACAAGTATAATATCCAGTACATAACCATATTGTTCAACATATAACAAGCACTAAATGCTATTAACACCCCATTAATTATTTTGGGCTCCCTATTTCTTTGGACCCCTACTTATAAATTGTAAAATTCTTAAAATTTATTTTTCCCTCCAAATAATATCAAAATTATCTTTGTAAAAACATTTCACCCATTCAAATGCACACCCCCATACCTCCTACACCCCAAAAAAGCCTCTCTTAAAATCTTAACAAAATGCACGACGGTGGAACCTCCCAAAACCAGTGAAAAAAATTTATAGTGATTAAGAAATTATGTCTTTACTTCATTACGAGGTTTGTCAATCTATTTGATTTTTTTTTTCTTTCTATTACCTATTTTCACACACACAACACAATCCATTTTCATGCTTCTTTGATTGGTTTTCTGTCATTTATCCATGGCTTCACTGTACTTGTATGCTCTCTGTATGAGCAAAACTATGCAGGACCACCCAAGGGTGGTTCAACCTCCTTTGTTTATCTCCTTATGCTGCTACTTCAGTTATCTATTCTCAAACAAATAAGAAACGATAGGTTACCTGTTTCCAAACAAATAAACAATGTCCGGAGCATATATTTTAGAATTTTGGTTTGGGAGTTCAATCCTGAACAAATGACAAATAATTTTTATTATTTTTTTCAAGAAATTTACTCTTACAATGCCAAACTTATCTGAGCTAAGAATACCATCAAAACTATGAACCTCTTCGGAGTTTTTGTTGTTGTATACCTCTCGTCTCATGGAGTTGTGGTTGCCGAAAAAACTCACTCATTGACATTGTTGGAAAAGTGTATGTAATTAAATAGTTGCCACCGCTGTCGCCGGAATATTGCCACCAAAGAATTTTCAAGATTTTAAGAGTAGGTAGGTTTTGAATGTGGGATTTGGGAAATATGGATGGGTGGTGATCGGAGTGGTGATCGAGGTGGGTGTTCTCATAGACCCTAACTCATGATGTAGTGGATGTGTGAACTTAATTGTGAGATGAGGTGTTCCAAAATTATTGATGTCCTTTTTAATAATTTTATTTGAGGTTATTATTGTAATAAATAAAATAAAAAAACTAAAAAATAAGAGATCCAAAATAATTAATGGGATGCTAATAGCACTCATAAAACTCCCATCAAACAACATTTTATTTTTTCTTCTCTTGATTCTAAGGAGACTTAGGACAGTTTGAAATATATTTTCTCAATGTACTAGTTCCATTTGTACTAAACCAAGCATAAAAAAGTTTACAATAGTAACATTTAACATATGCAATAGTCTTACTCCCTTCTTTATATGGTTTCAATTACATATAGTCCGGATTGGTTCTAATCCGGAACCGTGAACTCCAATTCGGTACCGATCCGCAAAGAATGAATTCCTAACTTTTCAATCCAAAACCAAATCACGGATTCAAAAAATTAGTTCAAACCTATCAAATTGGACTGAACCAATTCGAATTACGAATTTTTTAAATTCCTTGCTCAGCCCTAATTTTTGAGTGTCCACATATATTGCTTTTTTCTTTTTAATTTAGGGAATGGGGTGATTGTGATGCCACCATTTGAGGTGTATTATGACCTTATTTTTATAATCTAAACCGTTAATTTTATAGGGTTTGTTGATTACTTCATGCCTACTAAAAATCATTTTAATTGGATATCAATAATTATATGATCGAATTGCATATTATTTATGCTATTTATCAGAAGAAAAACTTATTATTTATTTTTTTGGTTATCGATCATATAGTTGTTAATATCCGATTAATATGATTTTTGGTAGGAATGAAGTACTCACCAAACCCTACAAAGCTAACAATTTAGATTATAAAAATAAGGTTATAATATACCTCAAATAGTGGCACCACAATCACTACTGTGCTTTTAGTACAATAGTGACCCCCAATCCTTAATTTAGACAGTAAACACTATTAAATTTGGGAAATTAATCATTTGTATTAATGAAAAGTATCACTTGACATTGTCACAACAGTGCAATGATTTTTATGGTTACTATAACTGTTGATAATAATTGGACTAGTGGGAACTCATTCGAATTTCTAATTAATAATGTGTTACTAAATCCATGTCAAATAAAAGAAAAAAATTTAAACAAATAATCTCAGAATACGTGATACTATTAATCAATAAAAACCTGCAACTAGGGGTGTAATATTGGTTCGTGGTCTGCGGGCGGCTCGAAGCCCGCCCAATGTGGACCCGGCCCGTTTAGGCCCAAACCCAAGTCCAACCCGAGGCTTTGGGCCAAGGCCAGGGCCATCATTTTGAAGCCTGGGCTGGCCCATGGCCCGGCCCATTAGCCTGCTCAAGACTCGCCCAAAAGCTCGGCCTGAGGCCCGACCGCCCGGCCCACCCAATGCCCAGTGTTATTTTTAATGGAAAATAATAAAATTTTGGTGAAAAAATTTTTAAAAAAAAAATTTAAAAATTGTTTAGGTCCACCCAAGCCCACCCAAAGCCCGAGCCCAAACCCAAGCCCAGGGGCCCGGCCCACTGGCCTGCCCAAAGCCTAAATACCCCTGGGCCTGGGCCTAATTTTCTGGTACATGGGCCGGGCCGGCTCAATTTTTTGACGAAGCCCACAAGGCCCGACATGAGCCCAGCCCGAGCCCGGATAGGCTGGCCCAGGCCAAAATTACACCCCTACCTACAACACACCAAATTATTTTTTGTTGTGCAGCTAACTACCTAACAAAAAGTGAACATTTCCCACAAGTAAACTTCTCTGTTAAATGATTGATTTAGGTCTTGTTTGAGAACATGTTAATTTAGTAACTTTTTGGCTATTTAGCTAAAATATGAGCTAAAAAAAATTAGCATGTTTAGAGTGACTTTTTGACTTTTTACGAAAAGATGTGCAAAAAGTAGAGAAAAAATAGAATCTTTGAATTTTTTGTATGAATTATTAGCTTTTTAACTTTTTCAGTAACTTTTTGACTAAATGAACGGATTCTCAAATGAGGCCTTAGAACCACTGTTGGCAATGCTCTATGATACTTTGGTCTAGTGAAAAATTACTCGAACTAGAAGATTATTCTGGGAACCCATCCAACAGTCAAAGCGTTTTTTCAAATGTTTAATGTAGCTAAATTACCAAAGCTAACCAGCCCATGCATGTGACGTCATCCAACAAACAAAAATGCAAAGAAAAAGATACATGGGGGGGAAAAAAAATAATATCAGCCTTAACATTTATATATAAAATTTCCTCGTTCTTGTACTATAAGTCATTTTCCCAGTCACCAAACAAAAGTAAGGAATTTAACACTCCGTTCATTTGCTTTTTCCGTCGTATTCCTTAACAAATCTAAGAACCAAACAAGGCATTTATGATAGGACTGAGCAAATCTAAGAACCAAACAAGGCATTTATGATAGGACAGAGCAAGGATCCATGAAATCAATATTCTGATCTGATTCAATCTAATCTGATAGATTTAGTTTGATTTTTTAAATCCGTAATTCGATTCCGAATTATAAAATTAAAGATCTATAATCCATGGATCAATTTCAGATTAAACCCTACCATGCCGAATTAAAACCGATTCAGACTGTATAAAAATAACCTATATTTATATTGGCCCTGTTTGGTAGAGCTGTGAAAAAGTGCTTATAGCTTATACCTTAATAGCTTATAGCTTATAACTATGAACATAAGCTGATTTCTGAGTTATAAATTAAGCTTCTCCTGCCCCACTCAAAGAATAAGTTAATTTCTGACTTACAAAAAGTTATAAGCTGTAATGTTAAGTTAAACCAAACATATCAAAATAGCTTAAATTAAGCTGAAAACTGAAACAAACTGAAATTAAGCTGTACCAAACAGGGCCATTATACGCCTTCATACATAATATCTTATCATATTCCATATAAAACCTAAATCCACATAGTATCTTCTTTTATTACTTTTGTTTGTTGATTTTTAATTTTAATTTATAATGATTTAAATATTTATAGTAAAACCAATTTTCTTATGATTGTTTAAATTCTAGAACAATATGTCACTATTATGACAAGACATGTTACTATTGTAAAACTAATATGATACTATATTTATGTTTTTACGAAATTAAAATGTTTTACATATATTTTTTATTTAATTATGTGAATCCGTTGTCCTAAACCAATTCAATCCATGTTTAAATGAATTGATTCCACGATTTAAACGGATTGAATTGGTTCCAATTTTTCAAAAACCGTCGATAATCGATTGGTCCTGATTTTACCCCGATCTAGACAATCCAGTCCATGCTCACCCTTAATTTATGATCATAAATTTGCAGGCTGTAATATATATTCCATTTAACACAATCAGCCTTGTTCCATGGAAGAGTTTAGCTGGTTCTTTTTCTTCAAGTGCATGACAATTCAAAGAGAAACAAGTAAATGAAAGATCACTGCATGGATTACAAGGGGCAAAATTCAGGCCAAACCAAGTCAAAAAATTGCATAATTTATTGGCCTGGGTTGAAGGAAATAAAGTAAATAGCTATCTCTATATTCTGTACCATAGAAGAGAAAATATAAAGGAAATACTTTCTTCCTATTCTTGCAAAGCAGATGTGGCTTCTTTCAAACATGACCTCATGATCTTCCCTAGCTTAGAGCAAGCATCAAGGCATAGCTCCATTGCCTGTTCATAGAAGATATTGCTTTATAAGCCTATCAAAACGTGCTATTTTTAATGTCCCAAAATAATCTTGATTTTTAGAAACTTCAACAAACACTTGTGAAAGAAATACTTGATTGTAGTACCTCGTGAATCTTTGGGGTCGACCATTCTCCTGTAACAGTCAGCTGAGTGACCTCGTTACGAGAAGGCATACAACTAATCATTACACTTCCATCTTGGTAGCGTTCTTCTTCTGAAATGGGATCAATGACAAGGTTCTTCCCAAGACAAGACTAAAGAACAAAAGAGAAGAAAATTCTGTGAGAATTCTACGATCTACCTAACCATGTAACAAGCATAAATATATTCTGATGATATCTAATCAGAGGTCTATGATAGAGGTATGGATCTGCAAAAGAAATGGCTCATCAAACTGCCAGTGAGTAATTTTCGTTAAGAATACGCTTCTAGTAAGTGATAGATGTCAACACCACTGTTGTGATCAACAATTCCAAGCAAATTACTCATTTATCCAAGAGTTGGTTATGGTTAATTTCAGGAGATAATGTAAAATAAAAACAAATTTTTATTATATACAAAGGAAAATGTCGCCTTCATATAGTTGTGAATGACACTCAAAATAAAATGTTTTTAACATTATGTGAATCAGAAAGAGAGGTTACCATGTACGAAGTAGTAAAACTACGGGGAATAAGGTAGAAATTAGTAAGAATAGCTGACGATGCTAGGTTGGTTATATCAATGAAGGTAATATGCAAGAGAACTAATGCCATCAGTATTCATCACTTCTTAGACATGACAACAAAATTTAATTGTGATGCAATGCCAAGGTATTATATAGGAAGAAATGGCATTGATGAAAATAGATGCAACAGTACCTTAAATGACAATTTCAGACCCTAACTTCTCAAGTGTTCTCCCTTCCAGTAGTGATCAAATTAGGAGTGCATTAAAAAAAAAATAACAATAACAGTTACTACACTTAAAATTTGTTGTCTGGATTGACATGAGAATGTAGACCGAGGGTTTCGTTTTCCCTTTACCTGTGAACAGTTCTAATTTTCTATACAATAAGAGGTCTCCATAGTGACATGTAAGGCACACATCTCCGACGTTGTGCCTACGGCACGTGTTAGGTTTCCGCATATCTACACTTACAAAGTGAAAATGTAATTAGAAAACAAAGGTTTCGGAAACAGGCATGCGTACCACAGAAACTGAGGCAACCAAATCATACATCATAATCCCTGCATCTGCTAGAGCAAGACTAGCACATGAAATCACCACAGGAAGATCACCTACAACCATAGTCATGTCTCATCAATATATGAAAACATAACGACAGTAATGACTAAACCCATTATTATCAGGCAGAGATGTCAACAAAATCACGTAAATCAAAGGTCCAAAACTCAGATCAGCAGATTGGATTAATTAGTCAAACATACTAGTCTTGGCTTAAGCTAGCTTGCACTACTATTTATGTAAGCAAGAGGCAATGATACTTGTACCCCAAAAAAATGCCATATTATCCATGTACCCAAAAAAGGGCCATTATCCAGTAAAAAAGGCCATAGACCCCAAATATTCTACCAAACATTCACATGGGTGTAGGTACCATGTCCATGTGAGTGTTTGGTAAATTATTTGGTAGAATATTTTGCGTCTCTAGCATTACTCTTATCCAGTGATGGTCACATCAGTACAGGGTGTCTTGAGGATAGATCAGGTACATAAGCACTAATTCTGTAAGTGGTTGAGCATAAATTGAAACCATGAAATACTCAAAAATCTTAACGAGAAAGGGACAACATTGAATAAACCTAGAGCAAAATATCCTTTCTCCCATGTTCCTCTTTCATCAAATCCAAGTTTTGGAACATTAAAGTTCATTAACAAACTGAAAACATTCTGTATTGATGCATGTAAAACTTTAGACTTACAGCCACCAGATTCCAACACCAATGCAAAAACATCCACAGTAGTCTTAGGAAAAGAATCCAGTATTATGGCACCTTCCAAAGCTTTATGAAGAATAGAGGAAAACTCCTTGTTGTCTGATCCCTAACACATGGAGAACTGAAAAGTTGGAACACAAATAAAACCAGAAATTGTAGTAAAAAAGAGTAATAAATTCCATACTGCCCATATACCTGTCCGCGAACTGGGGTAGCAAAAGTTGTATAACTGACGTTACAATTCAGCCGCCCTACATCACTGTACATCATTGCTTTCTTACTTTCCCTTGGCCCGAATCTAAACCAAACAAAAACCAACAACACATGGCAACATCCAAACACAAAAGCCATTAGAATGATTTAACAGGATGTGCCCACTACATAATCAGAATGTAAGCACTACTTCAGTAATTTATGGTATAGTTATTGCAGTCCTAATCTGCTATGAGCAAATCAAATTCAAAGATTTAGCAGCAACATAACAAAGTGCTATGATCCTCATAAGCCTGTAAATAGATGTGCAAAACCAAAGCAAAAATGTGGGAGTATCAACTAGGTGATTCCTGATGTTAGGATGCTAAACTAGCCAATCAATTCCCCACTGCTGGTCCTGATATAGCGTGCTGATGGGATAAGGACACCATTACAAACCTATAACCCTTTTTACACAACTTAGCTGCAGACTTCCCTCATTCCCACATTTTGGCAGACCAAGCTTTTTACAATTGTGCCCAGCAGGTAGGATATACTAAAACAACAATAATCACAGCAAAAAAATTCCAGAATCTCAACTTACAACAGATTTGAAATAAAATCAAATTCAAAATAATCAAGAAACTATGCAAAAAGATACTCACACGGACACAATGACCTTGGTATTTCCAAACTCTGCATAAGCAGATCCAGATGCTGCATTCACTGCACCAGTCCTTAAAACTGCAAATCTCCAACCACACAGTGTTCCAATAGCTTAGTTGCGGAGTAACTATACGGTGTCATAGAATTTTAGAATAGAAGATATTAAATTGAAAAAAAAGTACAAAAAGAGACAGGAAGATCAACAACAACAAAAAAGGCAGACTCTATGAAAGTGTAGAAGATATCCACACACACACACAAAAATTAACTCAAGCCTCCAATGATGAGAACTCAGCATAAGCATGTTACATTTCCATACGGATTAAAGGTTCAAATTACTAAATAGATAAAATACACTTTAAAAAAAATGTCAATGATTCAATGATTTCCCCAGAAAATATATATAAAAAAATACCCGGAAATTTTTAAGGGAGGAAAAGTAAGGATTTAACAACCATAACACAACAATTTACCAACCAAGGGCAGAACTAGGATTTTTTTCTTCGGGAGGATGGAGTTTGGAGAGCAAGCGTGTGTGTATATAGTGTTACACTTGTACACCATACATTAATTTCCCAAAAAAAAAAAAAATCTGTTAAACTGAGATGATTGTACTGAAATGTTGTGGAAAAAAAAAAAAAAGTCTGCTGAACAAATTAAATTATTTATTGTTGTAACTTGCAACAACTTGAGCTGACTCCTCTTCTTTTCTGCTCACCTTCTTGAAGTGAAGATCATCATCATCATTACACATAACCCATTAAAAAATAATCAATTATATAAAAAAATGAAAACTAATCCCAAATAAGTGTTGTACAAAATGGTAAGTAAGGAAAATATGTACCAAATACAGAGTAGTGGAGTTGAAAGTCAGAGATGACATGCCAACAGAGAATAAGGTATTCCACTGGTTGTATAAATGAGGGAGTTTTTACCAAGAGAATGTATGCAATATGGATTACCCGTAAACCCCCATGTTTACAGATAACCAATTAGCATCAAACACCTAAGCAAAATTGTCACCCATTTAAAAGTTCTCACGCATGCAAATGAATCTTATACCACCAGATTAAATCCCTTGTTTAGTTCTTCAGATTCACTCTCTAGCATTGGCACAATCTACCCACCCACCATCAGCATCACCACCGCCACTACATTTGTGATCTCACAAAACTCAACAAACGCATACTGCTGATCCTCTACTTCCGCGTAATACGCGTATCATAAATATATCAATCATCATAGAGACAAACAGAGATTGATCGCAAAAGAAAATGAAACAGTTGAGTATGCAGAAGTTGGTTTTCATGTGGGGTGGTGGGTAGATAGTACGATGGTTGCGGTGGGTGCCACTGGTGATGGGTAGAAAGTAATGATGACTGTCTAAAATGCCATACCAATTAATGTGCCAGCAGTGAGTCCACCAGTCGCCATTTCAGTGGATTTTATGAGACTCCGCTATAATAGTCTCCCAATGGGGATATAGAGAAAAAGAAAAAAGTGAGACGAGCAGAGGAAGAGAAGAGAAATTGATGTGACTCACTTATGTGACGTGTCAAATATAAAGCTTTGTTTGGGGTGTACTAATAAGTACACACTTTTTATCTTTTTATCTTTTTTCCATCACATCACCTCTTTACTTTTCTACACATCTTTTCGTAAAAAGTCAAAAAGTGCACTTATTTAGATCATCTCAAATCACCCCTAATTGGTTGGCTGTAACTAAACTCATTTACAGCTAAACCATACTGAAGATTATCTCTTTTATCAAATATCATACTTGGTTTTATCCTTCAATGAAGGAGAAAATATGGGATAATTTGTAAAAGACTCAATAATTATAGTAAAGAGTTTATAATAATAAAGAAGGAATGTCTTATAAAGGATATCCATATTAATAAACAACTGCAGTTTTCTTTTTATAGGCTAATTTCCCAACAAAAAAGGAATCTAATTATAGTATATAATTGACCTAAGAATAGGAAAGTTTAGAGTGGTTGTCTCATTCGATTGGGGGAGATATATTTGCTGATCAAAAAAAAAAAAAATCGATTGCGTAGATATTCAAATTAAAGACAAAGTTAATGCTTAAATTGTGGGTATCAACATTCTAATTAAGAACAATATTGCATGAAGGGATGTTGAATAGCATGTGATTGGCCACCGTCATGTGGCAGCCCCGTATGTCCACACCCATCATCTCTAGCTTAGACATAGATTCTCGGATCTCCAAATGGCAAGTCAACCTGGTGCTTTTTCAGATGAAAAGCAAACCGAGGCGACAAGGCCTCTTGAGGCCTAAGCACGAGGCCATGAGGCAAGGCAAGGGCTTCATCTAAGCAAGGAAAACGCTAAGGATATTTCTTAAACAGTAAATACTCTAGACAAAAACTTCAATATTTCCAAGAACCATAATGCATCCAACATTCCAATTACAAAAATATTTATTTTATAAAAAACAAAAACAAAAACAAAAACAAAACAAAACAAAAAATCCAACATCCCAAATACCAAAATCCAACAAAAACACAAAACATCCAACAAAATTAATCAGCAAAATTAATCCCAAAAAAATGAAAATTACTTCATGTGGTGATCCCACACGGAGTAGTTGTTGATCTGCCCAAATTCCCAGAAAATAATTTTGGAAAAACAAAAGAAAAAAAAATAAAGTGGAGATAGGAGGGAGCTATAACGTGGTGTAGTGGATCTAATCATACAACTAAAAAACTCAAAAAAAAAACATAAATGGTCCAGATCTGCAGATCAAAAAAGTGACAAAAAAAAAAAAAAGGGACAAAAAAAAAAAAAAAAAAAAAAAAAAAAACCTCATCTCAAGGGCCTCGCATTAAGGCTTGAGGAGAGTGCCTTTTCTCGCTTAAAGCACGCTTCTCCACCTTGCTTCGCTTCAGCCCCTTTGAGGTGGCATATATGCTCCAACACTTTAGCTTTGGGCCATGGCACTACAAAACGAGCTAAAAGCCTAGGGCACACTGAGGCGAGGAACAGGGCACTACTCAGCCGAGCCAAGGCAGTTCCACTTGGCCATGCCTGCTAGATAGCAACATGGCTCCTCACCCCCTTGTCTCAGCCCAGGGATCCTCTAGGCTCTACCAGACCTTGATTCCTCTATGCCACACTCCCCATACTTAACTCCCCAACTAAGGCTGTAAACGAGTCAAGCCAATTGTAAACCCTCAAACTCCATACACTAAGCAGACATCCCAATCTGACATAAAAATTCCAAAAAAAAAAAAAAATCAATGAATGTGCACTTAGGCTTGTGATTCTATTGAAAAATTCTGAATCTAAAACCCCCAGATAAGGAAAGAATAGATATTTAGAAATAAAAAGTAAAAAAGACAAATCGGCTTTTGAACTAAATGAACACAAATACCGGCAAAATGATGATCATCAACAAAAATTACAGTCCTTTCTCAATTTTGCAGTTGAAGTATAAAACAAAGAAACGACCTTGAAGCTCAACAATTCCAATACGAGGTTATATTATCAATGTACAAACAAAATCTTCAATGCAAAAAAAAAGATAATTAAACACAAAAATAAAATAAAATAGCATGATCCATCAATCCAGATATAAAAACCTAAAATCAACCAACAGTGAGAGAGAGAGAGATTAAAAACTAAAGTGAGGCTATCGATTCGAGAGAAGTTTCATGCAATGAAATCAACACAAATTGAATACATGTGTATATATATATATGTATATATACAGAAAAGGAGAAACAGACAGGCAGGGCGGCACTGGTGGAAACCACGAGCGTCGGAGCGAACCCAATCGACGTCGCTGAAAATGGGAGGTCTCTTCTTGTTCTGTGTCGTCGGCGACGGCGAGTAGGTCGTCGGAGTTGCTCCAGATTTTCCAGCCATCTCTCTCTCGCTATAGATATAGATGTAGATATAGATATATTGTATATGTGTGTCTAACTTTTCTTCTTCTTCTTCTTCTTCTTCTTCTTCTTCCCGCAGAGCACTTGGGACACACACACACTCTCTCTCTCTCTCTCTCTCTCTCTGCTCCGCACTTTGTTTTGTCGCCCAAGGTTTGGAAAGGAAACGCTCACTTTAGTTGTTTTCTGCTATCATGCGCCCGGAGGCCATGTTTGGTTTCTAATTATTCAAATTTTTAAAAATTAGTTTTTTTTATTTTTCGTATGTTTTTTATTTGTAGTGATTTTTTAAAATATTTTCAGTAATTTTTTTTACTTTTTAGATACATTTAATATAAATATAATTAAAAAATATAATATTTGTGAAAAAAAATCTTTTAAAAATTTACTAAATACAAAAAAAAATAATATGAAAATGTTGTACATTTTCACATTGTTGTGTATTTATTGATTTTTTTTATATATATAAATATTTTCTTTTTTAGGTATATTTAGTTTATGTGTATCTAAAGAAGAAAAACATTTGTTTAAAATATTTTAAAAATTCACTAAAAATAGAAAAACACGAAAAATAAAAAAATTTAATTGTCAGGAAATTGAATTCAAAAAATTGAAACAAAAAAAAAGTTTTTTTTTTTTTCCTTATTTTCAATTTTTCTTTTTTACTAAAAATAAAAGAATGCAAAGTTCAAATACAATCATCATTTTTTATATGGCATTTTTTTTTGGCAAAAATGGCTCAAAAATTCAAAAGCAATTAAAAAGTGATTTTTTTTTAAATTAAACTATTTTTGAAAACAATTTATCAAATAAATTTTCAGTATTTTATGAAAAATAAAAACACAGCATACATTATTATTTTACGATCTATCCGGTCCTCAGTTGCTCCCTTATTTCTTCTTTTGTAAATAACGTTGGTGCTGTTTGGTGTAACTGTTAAAACAGATAATAGATTATACCTTAACAGATTATAGATTATGACTTTAATCAGAAGCTGTTAATCTATTTGGTATAACTGTTGAATTATAGATTTAAGTTGTTGAATAGTGTTTGTTAAATAAGCTGTGAAGTAGCTTTTTCAATTAATTTTTATTTTTTATTATTCACTATTTGTCTACATTTCTCATAAAAAATAATAATAATATTTTATAATCCATTTGAGTCTTTTTTTATTTTTAAAAAAATAAAAAATAAAAAAATTTAAGAGTATAACCGTGAATTAACATCTCCACAACAGAAACTGATAATTAGAAGTAAGGGGTGAGCAGCTTATCAGAATCAACTTTTTTTATCAGAATCAACTTTTTTTACTTAAAATAAGTTGTTAGAATCAGAAGCTGTTTAAAATAAGTTTAACCAAATATTCTAAAATAACTTTTTAAAAACCAAAAGTCATAAGTTGACTCAAAAAAACCCTACCACACATCCCGTTGTTTAATGATTATGAAGTCATTTTAGATGTTGGTTGATGTCTTAGATACCAACACCTTTGCCCATTGAAATTATAAGTTTCATGTTTAATTTAAGGTGTCAGATGTTCCAATGCTCACATAATTCCAATTATCAGGTTGATTATGTCAGTTGCAATTGATATTCCTTTCGCTTTCAATTTTATCATCACCCAATAAAAAAAAAATGATTGGTTTTGAAATTAATTTTATCCAGTCATATGTGTTGGAAAATATGCATCCAAAAGACAATGATATTATTGACACAGAGAGAAGGGATGTATTGGTTAAAAAACTCACTGTAAAAACAAAACCAAATACAGAGTCTCACACCATAGCAATGAAATATTTTTTGAAAAAAAAAGAGCAACCAAGGTATTTCAGAACAGCTTCAAATGTGTGAACAAACACAAACTACAAGGGACATACAGCAAAAAAAAAAATGAAAGTAAAATCAACATTGAGTCCTTATCTATCTATGTTCCTCACAAACATACTCTTAAAAAATATATGTAAATTACAGCAATGTATCCCTCTCTCTCTCTATGGAGGTGGAGGCCCTGGCTCAAACAGTGGAGGGCAGCAGCTTGCGAATAGACCGCAGCAGCACAGAAACGACAAGCTGCAAATACACACAGAATGAAATTCATCAAAATGTAAGAAAAATAAATAAATAAGAGAGAGGAAAATAAAACTTACCATGAATCCATAAATCCTCCGCCAGGGGGTGGTGGTGGAACCGGTGCCAGCAGTGGTGCTTCTGGGGGTGGAGGTGGATCCATGACAGATGCTTGAAGGATTCAAAACTACCACTATAGGGTTCCCAATACAGAGAGAAACAATATTTTGGTTTATATGCATTTATATATATATAGTTCACCAATCTGTCATCAAGTCACTCCTCCATCTACCTACCATTCAATGCAAATTTGAGAAAGTTGTCCCCAACTAACACATTGGTGTGATGCGTGATGCTCGGGATCAAATTTGACTGTTGCACAATACAGCTTCTCCTTTCCATATTACTCAACGCAATGCTCGGGTTAGAATCTTACTGCTGAATGATGCAGCTTCGCCTTCCATATTTCCCTCTTAAAGATTGTGAATGAAACAACTTGATCTCATAACTGAGATCTGAAATGCCTGTTGTGACTAGTGTCACCAAAAACTGTAAAACTAGTAGGCTTGATGCTACTGGATTGAGTCAACTCTCAGATGAGATTAGAAACTCGTGATGTGGCATTTAAGGCTAACATTTCAATAGTTTTAACATTTCCATAGTTCGAGGATCTATCCTATGACATATTGTATGAATTGGAAGCAGCATAGTTTGTTGAGCACACCTACTAGTCAACTAGTTGTCTGGTAATTGGCAATGTTTTTTTGTCAAATGTGAGGTAGATCTTTAAAATAAAAATAAGAAAAACCTGCAATAATTACTAGTTCCATACTACTAAAGTTCAACTATTTTTCCCCCAACCATGCTAAACCTGTAGAGTCTTACCATTATTAACCTTCACTGGACCGTGAGGCCTATTTTCAGGGTCATAAACTATAGTTTTCAAATGAAAGGAATGGGAAATCTTTCCTTCTTTTTTTCTTTTTTTTTTAACATTTTGTATACTCCAACCTCAGATGTTGACAATTTTTTCAATTTAGGTACAACTTTATGCATTCCAACCTCAAATTCCAATTCTTACAAAGGCTAGATAAAACCACCAAAAATAGAAGTCCCATAAAAAGTAAATCAAATAAGAAGCTAAACTATCATCATAATAAATACAAAATAATTTGAATTTTCTATGTATTTTTTGTATCAACAAATTAAAAAATCAAATCAACATATTCTATGATAGAAACAGTAACTATAAAGACAGACAATTAGAATTTGTATTTTTGTTCTCATTTTTCTCTATGAACAACTTACAACTGAGAAGGTAACTGGAATCACGTTTTCCACCAGAACATGTTACCGGAATTCGCTGTTGCCAGTTCCTTTCCATTTTTCCTCCATGAACAAGTTACAACAGAGAAATTAACATAAGTAAATGCGTACCACCAGACTCAATGTTGCCAGTTCTGCAGTATCATCTTTACTCATTGGGCAGTTGAAATAATACAGGGGGCCCTAATGTTTTCCATGCAGAACGATTCAAACCTGGGCTCGGTTAAGTCCACTGCTTCATCATCTTGGGAATGCCAACTTCTAGCCTTTGAAGTAAGGAGGATCATTCTATCAATAGGCTCAGCAGAAACAGTATCTACTTCTTTCCCGTTCTTGTCAGCACAGAGTGTCCGGTCTATATTTAATGGTAATGAACATCGAGCAGAACATGTACCGGATACGATTTGCTTGAGCTCCTCATCTTCGACAGGACTCTCAACATGTTTGTCAGCCCTCTCAATGTCTACATCACCTTTAATGCAATGAGTAGAGCTCTGTGTGATCATGGAAGAAACAAATTTAGAAAGTGCATCAATTGATAAATTAGCAAACCATCTTAATAGCCCAGAGAGAATTTCAGATATTTAAATTACGTTTATCGAAAACAAACTCATTCTACAGTTTCCCATATTCATATGGATACTGTAAAATGGTGGCCAAAAGAGTAGAGACTATAGTATGTGCCTTATTTTGGTCTCTGACTTTTCAATTGTGACACATTTTATCCTGAATTTTGATTTTGTTCCAATCAAGGCCAATTGATGATGGCAGCCTCATTTGTGGACAGAACGGTTCACATGTTCTCCACATGTTCTCCATGTGAGCTCTTTTCAAGGGTAAAGTAGTCTTTTTTACCTAATGGAAGAGAGCATATTATTATACAACTTTCTTCTACTTGCTCGTTTATTCTACACCCCTTCCAAGGGGTGGCCCAGGAATTAAGCAACTATGAAATATGGCTGCAAATAAAATTGAGAGGAACATTACCGGGTGCACGTGCAATACCTCCAAAAAAAAAAAAACCATGTCTTATTTTTAAATTTTTTTAAAGATCCATACACTCTTTGGACACTTGGAGGACACACATGTCAATCGCTTAAACACACGTGTCTATCGATTAGACACATATGAAACAAATTATAAGTTTGAATAAAAACAACTTAAAATACAATAATAAAACAAACCCATATAAATTTATAAGAATTAGTGTCATATTGCATTTTTTATTATCTTTGAATGATATATTTATATATATAACATATAATAAATATATAAAATTATATATTTCATGTGTGTCCCCTACATGTCGTGTCCTACATTTTTTGAAAATTAACGCGTCGGCGTGTCCGTGTCGTGTCACGTGTCCGTGCTTCTTAGTCTATAACAAACTGGATCAATAGACTTAAGCTATGGTTAAAACAAATGTACCTGAAAAAGATTTATGGTAAAATTTTGCCTTCTAGAATTTTCTGGAGCAATAGTTGAAAGTATTTGCACAACCTCACTCATAGATGGTCGTGAATCGGGATCCAACAACAAACACTCCTTCGCTAAGTAAGCCATTATCTGCATCTCTTCTTCCGGAAAATTCCCTTTTAATTGTGGGTCAGGCAGCTCCATAATCACTCGCCTACTTTCCAATAAACGAGGGGTGGCCTACAAGAATATGAAAAATTACCAAACAAATCAAACTTCCATCATAAATTATCAAGGTATGTGAGCACGCAACTTCCCAAGGGAAAAAGAATAAAGAAACAAAACAGCAAAGATCCAATTGTGATTTGATAATTGAACTACACCATGATGATGAGAATTAAGTTCCGCACTAAAATAAGAGTTACGATGAGAATGACAACAATAGCAATAATAATGAAACTAGTAATCATACAACTGCCAGTAACATCAAGCAAAAAAATTTCGGTGGGTACATCAAGAAAATTTCCAACTCCGTATAAATGCTAAAATCATCAACTTAATTTTCAATGTAAGCTAAGCTCTAATATGAATAGATGGCTCATGTTAAGATGACGTTTTATCATATAATAGCATTAGGAAACCACTTTGTGTTGAGAAAACTCAAACTTGACCCATGCAAAGATAATATGAGGTTATACCCAAATGACAAGGCTCTCTTCGCCTTTGTTGGCCGTTTTATGAATGGGTTGCCGACCACTAATCAGCTCAAGAAGAACTACCCCAAAACTAAAAACATCTGACTTAAGAGAAGCTCTTCCAACTATTGCATACTCTGGTGCAAAATATCCAAAAGTCCCCTGCATTCTAGCTGGAGAACTGGGATAGCTGGGAAGGTCATCAGTCCTTAAATGCTTCGCCATACCGAGATCAGTAATCTGCACATATATGTGAATATGTAAGGAGCAACATATTGAATATGTACATCTTCTAAGAAAATAATTGACATATCGCATAAGAGGATATTCAAAAATTTACCAACTACACTTGATTCTCATTGCTAACTAACTGCATGAGAGGGATTTAAAAATTAAAAAAAAAAAAAAAAAGCTTCCCTGTTTTTTGGGGATGCATGTGAGAACAAAGAATTATCTGCAACACAATGCTTTGTTCCTTAGCTTAACTCTAGTTTGAAGTTTCTCTGTCATCATAATCAACATTTCACTTTACTTTTCTCACATTTGGGCCATGTTTGGATCTTGGATTTGTGGATGGAACGGAAAAGGAAACGAAAAAGTTAAAGAAAAAAACTGAAGATTCTAATCACTTTTCCTTCCCTCCACAAATCTAAGATCTAAATACAGCATCAAGGTTGGCAGTAGAATACAGTCTTACCTTTGCTCTCCAGTTCTCGTCCAAGAGGACATTTGTGGATTTGACATCTCTATGCAAGATTTTTGGTGCCGCTGCTTCATGGAGATATTCCAAGCCCTTGGCAGCTCCAAGTGCAATTGCAATGCGAGTACCCCAATCCAGGCATTTCCCTGATGCCCCATCCAAACACTCTCTCAGATTACCATTGAGCATATACTCGAATACTAGCAGCCTCTCAGCATGTTTTCCTTGGTTTTCTGAGCAGTAACCCAGCAAAGGCACAACATGACAATGATGGAGTCTTGATATCAATTCAATCTGACAGAAACAACAGTCTAGAAACTCAAGAATATTGCATAAAATATACAAAATTGTTCTCAGTTCTCTTGCAAGTGGTCCAGACATCACACAAAATCATGTAATAGACAACATAACAAAATCTGTTAGAGGTAGTACCTCCGTCAAAAAAATAGCTTCAGAATCTGCTCCTCCCTGAATTTTCAGTCGCTTAACTGCCACAGTTCTACCATCTCTGAGAAGACCACGGTAAACATGACTGCTGCCCCCACCACCTATCAAATTAGAATTTGAAAACTTATCGGTTGCATCCTCCAACTCAGGATAGGAAAATCGTACAATTGTTCCGTGTATTGTTTCTCTTTTGCTTCTGAATAATAATGAAGCCTTGTGAATGCACCCTGCAATAAATTACAAATTTATAGTGATTTAGTACACTAAGGTCACGTTTGTCCCAAAAATAATTCAATCAATGATGTCAAGATTTAATCTGTGTATTCCACGTTCCTATATTAGATTATACAAACTATATTATTAGCCAGCACTCACAAGACACTCTAATAGAAGCCATGATTAAAAGTTCAGTACAAAGACCTCAAAAAAGCAGTCATAACCCCAAATACCTGTGAAAGGGTTAATGGAACCTATATAAACTCTCGACTCAGGAACTGAAGAAGCCCCGTGGCTTATTAGGTTTGTAGCACTGCTGAAACTTGTATCTTTATCTGATGAGAATAGAGGGCCTTGTACAGGACATTTGTCCCTTCGATAGACATAGCATGCCACAGAAGCAGTAAATGCCAGAGTTGTGAGAAGAACACATATTAACAAAACAATCACAACAGCTTTGCTGGATATCCACTTCTTTGATGAATCAACATGACCAATCGATCCTGTAAGCAGCAATAAAACAGCACCCAAGTAAATCTTCTGATTCACGTAGCCTATACACCAATTTGAGGTGCTTTATTCAACAAATACCATGATTAATAATACTAAATACAAGCATATGGACGTATGAAATTCATGAATAACAAGATTCAAACTTTATTTCCAGTAGGTTTGTTATTTAGAATGTATATAAACCAATATCCCGAGAACCGGACACCCAGTTAAAAACTAGTGGCATGAACCAGCCAAATCAAGCCTACCAATGGGTTGGTCAATCTCAGCCCAAAAATATGAATGGGCTCTACACTAGGATTGCACATAGCTTGTTTGTTTTATCGAGTGATCTGGTGTGGGATTCTAATGATCCGATATATCAAGCTTGTGTAGTAACCTAAGAAGCACGGACACTTCTAAGAAGGTGATGTATCTGTTTTGTATCCGCATCAGACACCGATACTCTTTGGACACTTTCCCGACACATGTCCGACACTTTTCAAAACGTGTCCTATTTTTAAATTTTTTTAAAAGACCTGAACACTTTGGACACTTGGAGGACACACGTGTCTATCACTTAAACGCACGTGTCTATTGATTAAACACAGGTGAAACTAATTATAATTTTGAACAAAACAACTTAAGATACAATACTAAAACAAAACTATATAAATTTATAGGAATTAGTGTCATATTGCATTTTTTATTATCTTTGAATCATATATTCATGTATATAACATATAATGAATATATAAAATTATATATATTATACATGTTCTCCACGTGTCGTGTCCTGCTTTTTTTTAAAAAATTGACGTGTTGGCGTGTCCGTGTCGTGTGTCCGTGTAACTTGGTCCATATAACAGACTTTGTGCACATGATCTAATTAAGCAAAGTCTGAGGTTGATAAAAAAACTATCAAGCTCTAAATTAACATTGAGCTTGGCTTGAGCCTGCAATCACAATCAAGCCCATCGTACGATCCTACGATCCAATATACACCTTCGATCCGACTTGTGCTTTGGATCGACCCTAGATCAGGATCGTGGCAGGATCATTAGGATCGTATCGGGACTGCGACTCCATGCGATCCTGATTTGTAGGTTTTTTTGGCAACTTAAAAGCAAAAATCCTTATCGGGAGCAAAAAAAGCAGAAAAGTTAGCCCCTCTGAGCTACGATTAGGGCAATACATATTGGGAAAAGAGAAATTGGACATCAAATTTCAAATTTTGTGTTAACCAAACCAGGTACGCTTCTTCTTCTTCTTCGAATCTTCCATCTCTATATTTTTTTTTTTTTCTGTCTTCTTCTTTGTTTCTTCTTCTTTTTCGCTGCTGCTCTTCTTCTTCGCTGCTCTTCTTTTTCTTTTTCTTCGCTGCTCTTCTTCCTCTCTATTCACTGCTCTTCTTCGAATCTTCTCTATGGTTCGAATCACTGTTTTTTCTTCTCCCGAGTGCCGACTTCTTTTTTCCTCCTTTTCTCTCATCACAATTTTTTCTTCGTTGCTCTTCTCTCATTTTTTTCTGTTTCTGTAAATTATGTATCCATAGTCCGAATGACCCTTTTGTTTATTTTTGCTCTTATTTTTTCTTTTGTTTCTGTATATTATATATTATATATATTTTTGTATGAATGATTGTGTTGTTCTGTTTCTCTTTTTTTCCTTCTTATTTTAGTCTTTTATTTGTTCTTCCTTTATTTAGTTGGTCTTCTTTTCATTAAGAAAAAATGACAATGGTGTGCAAGTGTTGGTATTTGCTTTTATGATTTTTTTACTTCTTTTTTTGAAAAATAATGTTTGAATGCTACCTTGAATTGCTATATTTCTTTTTTGGGGGACTCATTCTATATATATTTTGATAGTATTACTTAGTCATATAAAAATTATTGCATTTTTTTATCATTTTAATAGGATCTTATGATTCTCGATCCGATCCGATAGACCCCAAAACGATCGTGTGTAGGATCGCGATCTTAACAACCTTGGTCAAACCCACCTTTAACCAAGCTTAATACCCTTGATTCATCATCTTACCATCCTACTGAGAACTTCCAGATAACCAGTAATAATCACCTTTAAACAGACGATCCGGTTCACTTTCCCATTTATGCAAGAATTGATCAAGATCAAAACAATGACAATGAGAAGCTAGAAGCCATATGATGTAAGAAAGTACATCCTCATAGGCATTGTGCACATTGTATTAGTACCTTACCAAAATAGGACACACCAACATTGTCAAACAAAATAACTGGAAATAAATGAACCAGACTCCATTTGGAATAATGCAACCAGTTCAACTCCAAATATATATATATATATATATGTATGTATCGACAATGTTTTGATTAATAATCCAATGCTACAATTTTTTGCCAAGTAGTATTAATTATCAAAAAATTATATGGCAAATGTCATCTAATTTCAGATTCACTCTGTCATGTGCAACACAAAGTAAATTTAAGCACCTTTTTCCCTAGGTTTCTATACATTTGGCTAGACATAGAAACCCTCAACAAGTGAAAACAACTTAGACATCCTATTAAATCCAACACGAAAATAGAAGAATATATAATGATAATTGGAGGTTCCTCTTTCACAATGTCAAGCATCCTACAATCTACTAGAACTTCAATTTACAAAGGGCATGCTTTGAATCACATATCACAGCACTTAGAAGATAAAGAATAGTGGCACACACAGCATAAGAAACATCATCATAATGATCCTTATAATCAGAAACAGAAGAACAAGATATAGAGCTTTCAGAATAGCCTAGTGATTGTTAAACCATTACCAGGAACATACTCAGTTATGCAGGAGGATACAAGCTGCTAGATATGTCTTATAAACTACCATTACGACACATGATTCACCTAAAGAACACATCATTTTTTCATCACTCAGGGATACTACACCACTAAAGCTGTTAATTAAAGATAATTCTATACACTAAAGCAAAATACCAAAAGTGCAATTGCAAGATGTAAAACAGTTTGTGCTGAGATTGCCAGCTGCCACTTCAGGTAAACCATCTGCACTGCACATGCAAGTCCATCTATCTTCACTTGATCCTGCTGCAGCAAGAGAGAGAGAAAAAAAAAAAAAAAAAAGAAAGACTAGAAAACTTAGAGAACTGAATTTATGAAAAATGACAATCACTGTATACTATAGGACAGGTCATGCATTTATCAGAATCATACTGTAACAGTACCAAAGAGTTATGGGTTTGATCTCATTATTTCCATCAGATGTATGGCAGAATCATACTGTAACAGTACCAAAGAGTTATGGGTTTGATCTCATTATTTCCATCAGATGTATGGTCAAGTTTGTAACTAATGGTATTAAAGCAGGCACCAAATTTTGTGTTTGAATCTACCTAGAAGAGGGCTTTCTTAAAAAGGAGTCTGAGCTGCTAGAGTGAGAGCTACCTAAAGTGAGAGCACCCAAGGATATCAGCTACAGAATCGTGGAGACATATCATGGTCCCAACTTGAATCATTTGGCATATAGGTCACGTTCATAACACCTACCAAAAGGGGTGACTATTTTATGTATTACAACATAAAAAATACATGACTCTATGAAAGTGCCCACCAGTGAAGAACATACTCTTGACTGTTTCATTTGCGGCTGAATCACAATGTCCTACTATAATTGAAACATCCTTGGACCACAAATACATTGCCAGCCTTCTTTCCTTCTATTTAATGTTGGGGGGGAAGCAGGGTTGTTAATGAAGTGAAAGTTTCTATCTACCTAAGTACCGAGGCTGGAGAAATTAAGTAATATAGAATACTGGCTATAATTGAAAAAGAAATAGCAAATTTCTATATGACCATTGTCTATTGCTGGTCCCATCAATCTGTGGTATTCAGAAACAGTGGACAGGATAAAGACCTACCTTCCGGCCACACAAATTGGCATGCCTCCTGCTCAAACCAGGAACTGCAGTTTTCATGCTTGATGGTGTGATGTTCCGGTTACCAAATAGTGGGCAGGGTACAGACCCAGCTTCCGGCCACAGAAAGTGGCTGGCTTCCTACTCAAAATAGAAATTGCAAGTGCATGCGTCATGGTGCAATGTTTTAATTACCAAATTTTAGTGTTATGCTTCCATTTTATTCATATTCTTCCTTCTAAGATTTTCAAGATGTGGCTGAGACTTTAAACAAGGATTACCAATTTTTTGTTAAATTGAATGAGATTTCATAGGGGTGAAACTATTGAGCTTAGGAATTATTAAAAAATAGATGACAAGTCCTGTTCATTATTTGGCAAGAGGAAGCAATATCAATAAATAGCAGGAAGATTCATCAGTATAAAAACAAACATAGGATCATCGGCATACCAGGACTGCAATCACAGGATGTAGAACAGTTAGTTTCAATAGCAAAGCTGTGGTTCCCCTGATATGCAGAAGAACATGTACATGTCCACTTGTTTATGTTGGATGCATCAGAAACTTTATCTGCCACAAAAGAAGAAGAGGAAAAAAAAAAAAAAAAAACAGAAAAATAAAAAAAAAAAAAAAAAAAAAAAAACAGAAAAATAAGTATCTTTGTAATTATGCCAACTTTTCAAATTACAAACTCAGGGATTCATAGGGACCTCAACATAACTATGAAATGCTGTGCACATAAACTCTCTCTCTCTCTCTCTCCCTCTCTCTCTCTCTCACACACACACACACACACATTTGATTTACAGTAACCTGTTAAGGAGATCCACAATATCATCAAATCCCTAGTTACAAATTCCAATTAATCGAGGAGGCCAGATAAACCACCCAGATGTTTGCCCATAAAACTTTTTTTTTTCTTTCATAAGCACCAGATTTTTGTCCATAGAATATAGCAGATGAGGACCCTAAGCTTCTAACTAAATGGTTATACAGAAAATTTCTTCGTAGACGGAGCAGGCTGAAACTAACCACAAAGAATTTGTTGAATCCCAGTCAAGCTAATGAGACAAGCAAGGGCAACTATTACTTGGAGCCTCATTTATTCTAACCCAAACACTGAACTGAAAAGCCAAAGAAGCCAGTTAGAATAACATGATTTCAAATTAATAAATATTTACTGGTATAGTCATTAATAAAGAAATAAATCTGTCTCGTAGAGGTCAAGGTCACAATATTCATCTGTATATGTATATATATTTTAATTCAAATTTCAAATGCTAACCAGTTGAACCACTGAAGCTTTCTAATTAATAAAAGCTTTTCAACAAGAACCTGTTTTACAAGCCATGTCACACGTGTTCAATGTAAAGATAGTATGCAAATAATTAGGAAATGTAAATCTTGCTGTAAGACAAGAAGCAAACTCCAAATTCAAGTACATAACTTGAAAAGAAATATAGGGCTCATTCATTTAGTTGCTATGGCACTCCAGGAGTCCAATCTCAGTCGTCCATAACATGTGAAAACCTTGTGAGTTTCATGGGAGAATCATTCCAATCATTAAGCTCTAAGAATATCAATTATGATCAACCTTCATTACAAACATCAAGTATCTCAAATTCTCAAATCTGCAAGTTGTTTACATTATCTGTGTCAAGAAACAGAGTAGATAATTAGGCTTGAAAGAAAATGGTAAGAATACAAGAAGTATGCAGAAGAAAAAGCTCATATCCATGAAAAAGTAGTTCCTATTATCTAACAACAACATAGAAGATGAACTGCACATCAATACAGGGCAACAAACCAGAGATAGGTGGGGAAGTCAATTTTCAAATATAAATGAGTGGTCTTCTAGAAATGATAGATGGAATTTTTAAATGATGTTAACTTCTTTCAGATCTGTCAGCATATGCAGAAGCAAAAGCCCCATCCATGAAAAAGCAGTTCCCATCATCTACCACCACCATAGAAATATGGTATATGCCAACATATCAATACAGAGCACTATCAAACCACAAATGGGCGGTTCAATTTTCATATTCAAACGAGACAGTTTTCTGAAAATGATATTTGGGTTCAATTTTGAAAGGATGCCAACTCTGCTCAGGCCGCTAGTAATGAAAACATGGTGATAACAGAATATCCGGAAGAAACAACTACACAGTCACAACACAAACAGAAATATAGATCATGATGGGTAGGAATTACTGAAGAGATGGTAGGCCAACAAACTTCTTCATGTGGTAATTCATCTCAACACATGTCACTGTGTTTGAGTGCAATATAAATGTAGGGAGAAGTGGCCTTTGATTTTTTATAAAGATAGAAATTTTTTTCCATGCAGAAGTTAGTTCAGTTGTAGTCTAATTCAGTGCATTTTTCAATATTATTGTCTGTCTACCATCTTAAATATCAACACTTCATGAGATGATACTCACCTAATGGTCTTAAATGCAAATCTATAAGAAACATGCACACAACAGTGCCACTGAAAATCATGTCAACATTATTACTACATCATAATTAAGACGAATGGTAAGCCTAGCATATGTTCTTCTTTGGGATATGTTTAACTTCAAACCTAACTTCTCTCAAAGTTAAATGCATATAAAGAAAGGGGGGAAAGAAACACAATTATGGTTAGCACAGAGACTATAACCGAACAACAAAAATATTTCATCACATTACTTGAACCTCCAGAAAGCAACAAAAAGTTGGAGTTTTTCAGTAAACAGAACAAAATAACCACCAAACATGAACTTTGTCAAATAAAACTACACGACAGACAATTCATGTTCCAATTAGCTGAAAAACACCCGAATGCTATAAGATCAAATGAATCTTCAAGACTTACTCTTTCAGATTATAAACCATTTGAATCCAGATGAAAGGAAAAAAGCGCACCCAGAGCCTCACCAATTGGATTATTCAAAGACCCATCACCATTAATAAGTGAAAAGCAAAAAGAGTAATGCAGAACAGAAAGCTGACAACAATAACAGAAAGAGACTTGTGAGTTCCTACAGAGAAGCCCATCGAATAAACTCAATGAAAGCAACCAATCCGCAACCTGAAAGAGACCCCCCAACAACAAAACTATCTACTTTCCAGTACAAATCAATATTAGAAAACATTATCTTGCATCATTAATTCACTCATATCTCAATTTTTAGATCATATCCCATTGGATTCTAAGTCCTTAATCATTGCCTCACGTATGTATATATTATATTTATACACGTTTAAGAGGAAAAAGTAAACAAATATTTTTAAAAGACGTATGTGCCAACGGTTAGATCATACTTGGCTTCAAAGACAGTGTGAGAAAGGTGGATAGATACAGAGAGACACGCGTTAGCTTAGACTTTGCTAAGAGTAACGTTTGAAGACGACTTTAGAAGTAATTATTTTACAGAGAGGTCCCACCTATTCGGTGTCGGTTGTCGGAACTCAAAAATGGTAAGAGCACCAACAATGGCGACAGGAGTGACCCTCATGAAATCATGAAATCCACACCGTCTGATTCAGTTCATCCATCGTCAGCAAATCACGATGATGAATCTGACGTGGTGTGGGAATTTTCTAGCAAATCATCACGCGCCACGTCAGAGATTGGAGCGATTTTAGTTCGCTCCGCGAAGGACTAGATCGCTGACAAAATTACAGAGAGAGATTAATCGACGTACCTGGTGGAACAAAAGAGTGGAAAAATTAGGGTTTGAATATCTGAGAGTGCTTCTTCTTCGACCATTAAAGCGCTTTTCAAAATGCTTCTCGTGTTAGGGTTTCGCACAAACAACAACTGAGCTCTCATAGAGAGAGAGAGAGAGAGAGAGAGAGAGAGATTTGAGCTTTGGATCTGAGAATGAAGTTGAAAAATGAGATTCAAAAGGTATATAATACAAATGCAAGTCAAATAAACAAAGCTTCAAAAGCTAAATCGAAGATTCAATTCGAAACGAACATGCACACAGACTCACATCGAATGAGAGAGTGTTGGGAGACTGAGAGAACAATGGCAACTGTTGGCACAGATGTCGATGGTATGCAAGGTGGGTCCCACAATGGTCCCCACTTCTAATATGCCTGATTACGTGGCATCCTGCAACGTCGTTCGTCTGATCTTTTTGGTGTTTTTATCTTTTGTGGATTTGTCCTTCTTCTACGGTCAAGTGTGGTCCATTGATATGAATGTGGGGTCGCTTTATTCAACAGCTTTGATTCGCTTGATTGTCCCGAGAGGGTGCATCGAAGATGATGCGCATTAGTATTAGAATAATCAACAATCATTCATCCCCTTTTTCTCCCGCCCCTTTGACCCCCTCTCTCTCTCTCATTGGTTACTTTTTTTTTTTTTTTTTTTTTTTTCTGCTCCTCCAATCACCACCCCCCACGTGGCAAAGGGGTGAGGGGTGACCTCCAAAAGGGGGTCCCAAGCATTATTCTAGAATAATACTATATATATTAATTAATGTAAAAAAATGGTAGAGATTATGAAAATGATCATGAAAGATTTGTGATCCTTAAATTACTTTGATTAGTATATAGTACTTTATTCTAAGTGTAATATAAATATCACAAATCTTTCATGATTATTTTCATGAAAGACTTTTCATGATACCTAGCATTGCTGATTAATATATACACTAGTTTACTAAGAATAATGCTATATGTACTAAGGCCTATTTTGAAAAGTGGGTTATAATCCACCCAGATTATAACTCACTTCCTCTCTCACAAAAAAACTGTTTATAAGTAGTTTGTCATCCAAAAACTGATTATAACCATTTTTCCAAAATAGTCCTAATTAGTGTACTAACAGATGATGTGATATTATTTGTATAGTTTTAAGTACTTGTAACTTGTATAATAAATGTGGTCAATAATAATATCATAATACTAGTTGGTATATTTATATATATGCGAATTAGTGCATGTAATACCACCGTTAGTATTATGGCTTTGGGGAGATAATTTTTTTTTGACTTTTTAATTATTTTAATTCAAGTTAAAAAATTTGTTTGGATTGGGGTTTTTTGTTTTTTTATTTTTATGAAAAAAATGAGATAATTATAATTTAAATGTTATATTTTGTCTTATTATTTTTTTAAGTTTATTTTATATTTTTATGACTAATTTAATCAATAAATAAATAAATAAAACAAAAATGTTTGAGGCCCCCATTCCTTCTCACCCCCTTTCACCCCTTTTTTCTTTCCATTGGCCAATTTTTCTTTTCTATTTTTTTTCTTTTCCTTCTCCTCCAATCACCACCCACCACGTGTGTATGAAAATTATGAAGACGATGATTGGAAGGGGTCTCTATCAATGCTCTAAGTAAAAAACACCCAATTGCCCAACTAGGTCTATAATTTGCTAATTAGTTATTACTCTTTGCTTTCTTTCTTTTTTTTCTTGAGTATTGCCCTTTCTTTCCCGCTAGTTATGATTAAAATAAAGTAATTAAGAAAAGGAAGTGACAGTAAAACCATGATTAGTATTTAACTATAATAATCAACTAAATCCAAGTTTTGAGATCTTTATCTTCCTTGCAATTATAAGCACCTATGAAAAATAATAAGAAGAACAAGTAGAAGAAGAAGAAAAATGGTATACATAGTTACTTTTTACATCTATTTTTTTTAATTTGATAATGTATAAGTGATATGATTGGTTAATAATTAGAGAATATATAAAAAAATATTCTTTAATATCCTAATTGATTAACACATCACTGAATTTAAAATTTTAATTTAATTTTTAGACTTGAATAATAATGTTTTAATAATAATATCATAATAACTGCCTATTATATCATTTGTTGTGTTAATCTGCATTGACAATATGCATATATGATGAAATTTATATATTAATATTATGTGGCTAAATATAAAATTATTGTAATGATAAATCTTATTTAAAATTTTGAAACAAAAGGGGAAAAAAATTCAAAATTGTTTCCAAACTCAAACTTAAAGAGTCATTTAATATGTGTTATATACGAGATAAAATAAAAAAATTATTTATAAATTAAACTAGATGATATTTATTTTTATTTTTATCATTTTGTCTCGCATAAAAAATAATTAATTCTTAGTATAGAAATTATATAAAATTATGAAAAATATGAATTCAATGCAGACATAAAAGTAATTAAAGGGAGAGTTGTAAAACCTATAAAGTTATCAAGAAGTTAACTTTTTATTTTTTGGCGGGAAGTTTATAAGTCGGAGCTTTTTTTGGTGGATATAGAAAATACAAATTATTTTTTTGATTTTTTAAATGAGTGCACTAAAAAAAGCTACTTATTAGATGCTTTCAAAAGAAACCTAATGCATTGATAATTTGAGTATTTAAAAAAAAAAATTATCAAAGAAAAATAAATTAATTAATTTAAAGGATTTGAGGGACCCTCACATTTGAAAAGTTGAAGAAAATAGTGCGAGATTTTTATATTTTTAACTATAAAAATTTAATTAATTTTGTTCGAGGTTTTGAAATTTTCAAAATTCTCGTGGCTATTAAAAAGTGCTACGTAATATATATTTAAATATAAAGATATAGATACACATAAAAGAATATAAAATTTATCTATTACAAGCAAATCAAGCTATTTATTAATAACTCAAGTTTGATTATTTTAATTTATCTTATTATTCTTTATCCAAAGTGATGATATTACTTTAACATATTATGTTCGGTATTTATACAAATTTACATATTTGCTTGATAAATCTTATTAATAATATGAGTTTTTTTATTTAATATTTTACTCATAATCTTTTCTTTCTTTGTTTTATTTTTTTAATTTTATTTTTGCCTTGTTTTGATTTTTCTATCAAACTTGAGTTCAAATTTAACTTGTTTATGTAATTGAATTATTCAAGTTTCTCAAACATTAGATGAGCCGAACTTGGCTTGACTTTTCATTTGTGGTTTTAGAAGCGCACATTAAAATATCTTTTAATTACAAAAAAACAACAATCACATCACTTTAGAAAACATTTTTTTAATTTTAGAAGATCTATTTTTTTTTTTATGCACAAAAAGGGTAAAAAGAAAAAGGAATTGCTAATAAAAATCCCATAGTTCGCCCAAAAAAAGAATTAAAAATAAAGTAGCAATGAATTTTCACTAATTTCAAAACACATTTCACTCATTGCAAAAAATAAAAAAAAAAATTAATAATTTTTTCGTAACTTTCAATCTGTATTTTAAATCATATGCCTAGTGCGTTGGAATTGAAAAAAGTGAATCACACTAGACATTTTAACTAACAAGTATTATATGCCTAGTGCATTGGAGATGCTCTAATTGAATTATTCAAGTTTCTCAAACATTAGATGAGCCGAACTTGGCTTGACTTTTCATTTGTGGTCTTAGAAACGCACATTAAAATATCTTTTAATTACAAAAAAAACAACAATCACATCACTTTAGAAAACATTTTTTAAATTTTAGAAGAACTATTTTTTTTTTATGCACAAAAAGAGTAAAAAGAAAAAAGGAATTGCTAATAAATCCCATAGTTCGCCCAAAAAAAGAATTAAAAATAAAGTAACAATGAATTTTCACTAATATCAAAACACATTTCACTCATTGCAAAAAAAAAATTTAATAATTTTTTCGTAACTTTCAATCTGTATTTTATATAATTTTTAATATTAAATAATTCTATGAGCACTTTGCTAGCATTTATGAATTGAAAATGACACAATAAAATACATATGTGTGTGTGTGTGTGTGTGTGTGTGTGTGTGTGTGTGTGTGTGTGTGGAGGATAATTCAACATTTGGTGGCCCAAAAGCACAAATCTCAATCAAAATAGGTGTACAAGGCCTGTACTCTGGATTTTATATCCCCGAAGGCAAGCAACAGGGGTATGAATCCTCACACTCACTCAAGCTCCACAAGATAAAAGGCCTAATACAAACCCCAAAAGAATAAAAAATGAAAAATAAAATTTTATTCTAACCACGACACCTACGGCTGCAAATGAATAGCGTCGTTCGTGAACAGACTCGAACTCGATTTGATAAGAACTCGTTCGAGCTCGGTTCGTTAATTTTTTTTTACGTTCGAGCTAGAGCTCGTTAAATTTTTAATAAACAAGCCCAAATATTCTAAAGCTCGGCTCGTTAGTTAGCTCGTTTAATATTTATTATTTATATATTAATAATATAAAAATATGTATAAAAAATAAAAGAAATATGCTATTTATATATTTAAAAAATATAAATGTAAATAATAATTAACTATAGATAGCACATTTATATAACAGTGGTAGTAGATATTATTATTTTAGTAAAATATGGACTTTTTTTAGTATGTTTATATGTATTGTATATATAATTATATAATCAAAGTTTTAATTGTAACTTTAGTCTCACATGCAAGTATAAATTTATAAATTTTTTGGCTCGTTAAGGCTCGTGAACAGGCTCGAGCTCGAGTCGAGCCTAAGCCAACTCGGCTCGAGCTCGGTTTGTTAAATTTTTATTGAGCTCAAGCTTGAGCTCAAGTTCGTTAAAATCTTAATAAACAAGCCCAAACATGCTAAAGCTCGGCTCGGCTCGGCTCGGCTCGTTTGCAGCCCTAATGACAATACAAGTGAGATCACCAATTGTTGTAAAAGCTTAATCTTTTGGTACGAAATCATAATTTTTATTTAAATATTTTTATATAAATAAATAAATAATATTAAAAAAAAATTATCGAGCCGAGCCGAGCCGAGCTCGAGCTTAGCAAAGCTTGGCTCAGCTCAGTTCGTTTGCAATCCTATGAGCAAATATGGATTGGAAGGCTCGTAAAATTCACTACAGGTCCTGTTTCGATAATTCAAACTATTCATTTTGTCAGATATTTTATGTATAAAATTCATCCACACAAAAAAATAAATAATTAGTTTTAAAAATATAATTATTATCTATTTTTTTTGAGATTATGGACCGAAGGAAATTCTCCTCCAGAAAATTTACCCCCAAAAAAAACTCATAAAAAACAATGGATAGTTGAGAGAATTATTTCATGTGAGTCACACAATATATCTAAGCCACATTAATTTTCTAGTTAACTTTTGGGATATTTTTCTGGCTTGGTAGGCTATCTGTTTTCTGAGATACGTCCACGAAGGAACTGCCACATATATTTTTCTGGCTTGGTACGCTTTCTGTTTTCTGAGATATGTCCATGAAGTGACTCCGCATCAATGAAAACGTGTGCGTCTATATTTTATTTAGTTTTACATTTTTTTTCTCCTTTTCAACTATCTTTCAAATCCTCTAACTATCTTTCAAATCCTCTAACCAAATACAATGTAAACCTAATGGTGGACAAAAATGTCCTCTTTGTATATTTTCAATTTTATCAAATGGACTCCCAGGTGATGAGTCAGTAATGATATATGCGTAGAATATTTAATTTAGTAACTTTTTGGCTATTTGGCTAAAAAGGTAGGTAAAAAAAACTTGTATGTTTCGGATGACTTTTTGACTAATTACGAAAATATGTGCAAAAAGTAGAGAGAAAAGAGAATCTTTGACTTTTTGGTATGGCTTGTTGACTTTTTGACTAATTTAGTAACTTTTTGGCTAATTGGCTAAAATAGCCTCTTGCCAAACGAGGCCTTATTCTAACAAAAATGTTAGAGATCTTAAAAATTCTATTAAAATTTTTACCAAACGTCAATTCTATTAAAAAATTTATGAAATGTCTCACGTAAGTGGGACCCACATTGTGTAGGTCTCACACCCATGTGAGACCTTTGATAGAATTTTTGGTAAAATTTTTGAGATCTCTAATATTACTCTCATTCTAATTGTAATGAGGACTATACATCTAGAATGAATATGAAATGTATGCAATAATGAGTTTCAATTCTAATATGAACTTCTACACAATCTTCCCAAGATGTACTTATGGCCAGCAAAACCAGCACAACCAGGCATACTGTTATTCAGACCTAAAAATCAAACCCATTTTTTATATTCAATAATATGACACTCAATTAAATATCTAAGTTAATTTTCTCTTTTATTTGTTCTTCAATTATCTACACATCACTGAATCTAAAGAGTGGGTTTAGAAAATGAACTTGTATATATATATATATATATATGCAGAGGGAATTTTAGCCATTGCCACATAATGATATAACGATAAGGTTTCAAGTACATTTTATCATTCAGACATCCAAGCCCCATGTTCTGCGACAACTACATAAAACAACTTGCCTGCGAAGAGTTGAAACGAAACTTGTGATGCCTCGTGACTAAGCAAATTAACAAATGAATTGCAGAACTCGTCAAAAGGAACTTCATCAAAAGAATCGAGAGTGGATATATCATATATTAAGTGAAGAATTTCTCTCCCAAAGTATTCCCCCAGAATTACAAGGCTATACTATACCCCCATCCGTTGTCACCTCTCAAAGAGAAAAAAAAGATCATTTCTCCTTATATACAAAACCCACAGAATTCGTAAACCCAACTCTCCCACTTTTCCCTTCTCATCATGTTTCCCCAAACCCAATTTCCCAGCTTCCCAGAAATTTATTCATCTATATTGCAAAACAAGGAAATATACCCACCATCCCAAAACAACAAAAAAGAAAAACAAAATAGTAGGAGACAAAAAGAGGCACTCAGATTGATCTTGTGAACATAATTTCGAGAAGTACAATTACCTTGGTTGCGGTCGTGCAGGAAATGATCGAGCTGGTCTAACTGATGGTTGAGGAGATGCACTACCAAACACCATAGTCTGCGATCGGGTAACCATGTCGACCATAGATGGTGTCTGGTAAGCTTGCACGAGGCTTGTACTCTCAGTGGAATCGCCTCGTGCAGTCGCTCTCTGCCATGAATGTGAGCTCAATCCAGACAGAACATAAGCTCTTCCAGACGACTCGTAAACACGGCGATTCGCCATCCTTTCTTGCATTTCCTTTAATTCAGCAGCCAAAGCAACACATAACTGGTCTCCAGCTTGCGCTGATATTGTTTCTGACAATACTTTACAACAACACTCTAGTATGGACACTGCACCGGCTAGATCACCCTGTTCAGCAGCAGCTCTTGCTTCTGCCATTGCCTCAGCTGCTCGAACCCTGTTTCGCTGCCTGTCCACCTCCACTGACACGACTAAATCTCCTGCTATTTCAGGCCTCTGAATCTTTAGTTCATTAGCTTCTCCCAAGGTCACTGATTCTTTTGTAATGGGGTCTCTGTAAACACAGCTAACCTTCAACAATGACATCTCATTACAGGACCCATCAACTGGAATATCAACCGTTACCAGAAAATCTCTCTCTTCTTCAGCATACAAGTCTCCAACATCGATAAAACCCAATTTTGAATCAGGCATTACACGGGTTTTGTAACTTCCTGCTTTTATTGAACCAAGCTGCAGCTTCGGGTGCACACACTCGACTCCAACCTGCAGTTCCTGCACCACAACACTCAGAAGCCCTCCAATGCACTGTGCAAAAGCATCCTGAATCACACCCTCAGCTTCTATGAAAGAAAATGTCCCCCCAGAACTTTCGGAGATTGAGTGCATCGAAACAGCATCATGGTCTACACCAAACCCAAAAGCATGCACTGGAATGTGAAGGCCTGTACCACCATTGCGATGAATGGAGAGTGGTAAAAGCGACTGGTAATCAATCCCAGGACGGGCCTGACCAGGACTGTTGACAGTGTATGTATCCTGCCCATCAGATAACAGTATGATACTCCCCACGGGATTCTTACACTTGCGGTCTGTCATAACCTTGGCACCCTTCCTTAGGCCCTCAGCAATGTTTGTCCCACCATTTGAAGTCAGACTATTTATGGCTTGTAATGCTTTGTGTCGTCCAGTATCATTCATTCGACGAAGGGGAAAGAGACGGCGAGCAGTGGAGGAGAAGGCAATAACTGAAAGCCTGTCAGAAGGGCCAAGGTGTTGTATCACGAACCCCATGGCTCGTTTTAGCAGAGCAAGCTTGGTACCTGCCATGCTACCACTAACGTCAAGTACTGTGACAAGATCAACTGGAGCACGAGGATTTTTGGATATTGGTGGCAAGTTAGCCTCATTTACCCCGCAATTTTGTCTTCTGTTTGTAAGAGCTTTGAGATTGATAAGAATGGTGAAATTATTATGAGAGGCTAATCTTGAAACAGTAGAAACCTCTGGGTATGTCTTCACCTCTATTGCTCCAATTGAACAGTCGTCAGGAACACATTTATTGTCAGGAACACAATTATTGTTGGGTCCTTTTGCAGTAATATCAGGTTGTTGATCAACAAGTTCATCATCATCAAAAACACTGGGCTCAGGGGCATGCAAATATGATGAAATATGCCTATTGGCATCTGCACGAGGAGGAGGAAGCCGTCTTAAAACAGTCATCCAGGCATCATCTCGTCCCCAAGAAACAGTGTTTATTCTTGCCCTTCCGTGGGAAAGGTCGGAAGTACTCTGGAAGGGTATTTCCTTCCATTTTGCTCTGCAGACAGGGCAAATTTGGTTTCCATGTTTTACATTAGAAGTAATGCAATGGAAGTGGAATGAGTGGGAGCATTCTGCAGTGAAAATGGCATGGCCGTGGCCTGGTTTCATGGTTGTGAGGCAAATTGCACAAGTCCTCTACAATTAAAAGGAAAAGCAAGTGAAAAGAAGATTCACAGACAGAATCAGGAATAAAAAAATGTTACAAATCAAAGAGCTTAAAAGTAAAAATCAAATGACATAATTAAACTAGCTTTAACATAATCCTAATGCAATTCTACCTATACAATCAAAACTCAAGCACTCAGACATTTTAGATATTCATAAAGGCCAAATTGAAATGAACATCTCTTTGTTCTCAATATCATCTCTCAATCGCAACTTTTCCAAAAGAAAGGAGATATTTGGATGATGCTTTGATTAGCTCATCTAGTTTGTTCAAAAATAAAATTGAGACACTAAGGTGGTTAGAAAGAACAGTGACAGGCTTTCAAGTTTTCCCACTAGTTAACATTCATTTCAATCTTCACTGACATGTTGAATGATTATAAATTCTTTAAACCATCCACAGCCAAAACTAAGCCCTCCAAAATGATAATAGTTACAAATGAATCCATAGGAAATGATATTACTTGAAACTCAGGGTACTTCCAAGGTCTCGTCAAGTAACCTCTATCATTCAAAATAAATTAGAATTTGCAGCACATGGTGTCCAGACAATTATGACTGACTGACATTTGCAGCTACTTCAAAAACTAATAATTAGTGGAATCACATGAACCAAGAAGCCCACGGGATCCATCCAACATCTTCTTGAATTCAACAGGTTACAATATATAAAAGTAGTCGCAACTCAATTATTGAATCTTTTTTCATAAACAAATAGCATTATTAGGGTGGGGAAAAATTAGTCAAATTTTTTTGTATGATTGCTCGGTTGGGTGACCATCAAAATCTTGAAGGTGCTAAAGACTGATCCTCATGTCTGCATGTAAGGCACATTATTGAGCCAAGTGCATAAAAAGAAGAAATTGAATGCAACCCATCCATATCATATACAAGATCAGAGAAAATTCACTTTTAACTGCATTGTCGCGAGTTAAATCAGTTTACCATCAACAAAAATCACAGCTAGTCACAAAACACAAGGAGAATATACTGGTAAATTAAGAGGAATCAAGAGAGCAACTTTTTTAAAAAGAAAAGGGCAAACAAGGAACTCCCAGACTAATGATGAAGCTTTCAATACAATAAAAAAGGGAAAAGAAATTCAAAGCCCATGTATCAAAAGAAGGAGAAATCCTGAGTTGCTTGTGTAAGATTTTTTATTCCTTTTCAACTCCCATCTTCCTTTGATGAAGCTTATTGTGTGAAAGCTCTCAATCAATGGTCTACAGGCTTTTCTAAGATTATCATCAAAAGGAGAGAGAGTGAGAGAGAGATGGGTATTTGTGGGGGGGAAATAGTGCAGGTGCTGACCAGACAAAACACTTTTCCTTCAAGAAGGGGAAGAAAAAGGTAAGAGAGTACACTGTAGTTTTCCTTCTATAACAAGACCAGAGGCAATGGTCCTTAAAGGGACTATTCTACTTTATCAACTTACTACCTCAACTGGGGGGGGCCCATTATCACAAGGGAGGAACCAGTTACCCCACAAAGCCATTGAGAACTGAAAACTACAGGACAACCAATAGCCCATCTCCACAAACCACCATTATTACACATCCTGACCCCCCTACCCATACCCCACATTTAATGACTCCGACTTATAGCCAAACAAACAAAAAAACTATAAACCACTGTAATCACTATTCTCTTATGCAAACCATGAATATACCAATGAAAAATTCAGTATGAATAAAACAATCAACAGTAAAAATTCAGTACTTCCTCTATAAAGATGGCACAAAATCATATGGGTAATTTTATTCGCACATGCCAGAAAATCCTTGTATACAGCATTTATGTGGTTCGATATAATAAAAGTCAAATATCCAGACAAACTTCAGAACAAAACTAAATTAGTCAGATATATATTTCGTTCAATAACTTATATCCAAACAACAATTTTTTTTGAAAATTTATGTGAGAACATTTGATTTTTGTTAAGAAATTCATATCTGAATTGTATAAGTGGTGTGCACTGAAATTTGTTGCATTGGAAATAGAATTTCCCAAAAATTACCCAATATTCAATTAACTGGCTCTTGCTTGGGATAATACTCTTATATCTATATCTATATATATACATATATATATATATATATGAAGTATGAATGTATGTATATGCAAGTAAATCTAAGCATAATTTCTGAATCTATATTTTGATGATAAGAAGCACCTTAGATGATTTGGAGCCATGTTTGGGCAACCGGAGACCAGAAGAAGAAGGAATCGGCGTCGTAGGCATTGAAAAGTCCGAGCCTCTCGTCGCCGCCGGAGAGAGCAAAGCGGCGTCGGAGAACCTCCCAGCGGACTGAACCGACGGTGGCGAGTCCTCTACTGTGCTCGGGACGTAGAGGCACGTCAGAGCGAGCTTCGCTTTCCTCCATTTGCTTCCCATTAGAGCTCGATCTGATCTTTCTAGAGAGACAGATAAATAAATAAATAAAAACTTACGTACTCTTCAGATCTTCAAACGCTCCAACCAAAAGCCACATAATAATTGCAAGAACAGATCTCCAAATGCTCAGATATTTCACCAACTCTCTCTCCTCTCTCTTTTTGAACACAGAAACCAATAGCTTGGACCAGGCAATAAGATATACATACACACATCAATATAGAAATATTATTATATATGTGTAGAGAGAGAGGGTGTGTGTTTTGGAGAGAGAATGTGGGGAGATGTGAGGATTTTAGAAAGAGAATGAGCACAAGTGGTGAGGGAGTAAAGTAAAAAAGGGCAAAGAAGGAAATGAGGTATCTGGATTGTTAGGCATTGGCGGCCATGAGAGGTCTGGTTTGACCTTCAATGGAGTTTTTTTTTTTTTTTAAATAAAAAAAAATTGGGGAAGAATTGTATGCGGTACGGCTGAGAAACTGAAAACAAAGAAAAGAGAGGGAGCGAAAATGGATTGGTTGTAACTAAAGAAGAAAGTTGAGTTTTATAGCTTACCTTAAGCTAAGGTTTTCACACTTTGGTAAGACTTTGGCTTCGTTTGATGTAATTGTGAGGATGCGATTATAACTTAGAGGAATGTTAAAGATATCAAAAAAAAAAAAAAATATCATAAGTTTTATTAAATTTTATATAGGTGTAGGATTTACACAAATTTATATGAGAAGTTTGATAAAATATTTGATAGATTGTTTGTTTGGAATCTCTAACATTTTCCTATAAATTATGACTTAATAAATTATGTATTATAACTTTAAATATAAATTGTTGATTTATTTGGTAGACTTGTGAAATTATAGACTTAATCAGTAGAGTAGTGTTTGATTGAATAAATTGTAAAATATTTTTTTATTGTATAATATCCTTTATGCCCTTATAACTTATAAAATTTGTGATTTCATTTATAATACATTTTTTTCTTTATTTTTCATTTTATTTTCTTTTATTCCTTATCTTCTTTTCTTCTTCTCTCTCTCTCTTTTCCGTCTCTTCTTTCTTTGTTAATTTTGTTTAATTTATTAATTCATTAAAATTAATACCAATTAATATTCATGTTCTATTTTATATTAATATTGTGATTTCATTACATATTATTTTTTATATATTCATTTTGATTATATATATCTGTATTATTATTATTATTATTATTAATTGTGATTTTTTGTTCATCAATTAGTATCAATTAGTATAAATTATTTCATTAATAAAAGTTAATATAATTAGTATCAATTAATATAAAAATTGTTATTATATATATATATATATATATAAATATATTTATATTAATGTTGGTTACAAGGCCAAAGATGGAGGGTCGTCGATCTGGAATGGCAAAGGAAGCACTGTCGAAACAATGCCAAAGATGCCCAAGTCGTCAATCGTCATCGTCACCGTTCTACCAAAACCCTAGCCCCTTTTTTCCTTCTCCTTTCCCTGAAACCTTAGACCTCACGGTTTACCAAAAATCTAGCCTGGTTCTCCGACCAAATCACAAAGAGAGAGAGAGAGCTCTGGTTCGTTGATGCAATGGCGGTGGTTCTCTGACCAAATCGCGACTCTAGGTGTTCGGAGGCTTTGCCTCTCAACGCGATGGCGACGGGAGGGTTTTGCCAATCTAGTTAGGGTTTCAGTTCGCAATAGCGATGGTAACGGAGAGAGAGTTTCATATCGTGAGAGAGAGAGAGAGAGAAGAGATAGCGAAGAGAGAGAACTCTAGTTTGCCTACGCCAGAAATTGCCTCTCTTTCTCTCTCTCTCCCTCAAGTGAGCAAATGAACAGTGTTTTGAGAAATAGGGTTTATATAGTTGGGTTTTTTGTAATAGTTGAAATTAATGAGGGCATTTAAATAATTTCGCATGCCCTCCGTTTAATCTCAAACGTGGAAGCTGCTGGGAGCAGCTTCTGATTCCAACCACTTTTCTTCAAGGAAAAAAAGCTATAAAATCAAAAACTAATGAACAAAAGTTTAAACAAACAGTCTAAAATAGCTTTTTGGAAGCTAAAATCTATAATCTGGTGTCTAAAATCTAGAGCAAATAGGCTCTTTGAGTATAAGTTTTGAAGTCTCAGGTTCTATACTTTTCAGAGTCAATTCTTAGGGGTTTAATGCAGTAGTTCTAGGACGGCCCTCTATAGGTTTGTTTGGGATGTGAGTTGACTTTTTGACTATTTTAGCTTGGGGTTTGGGATAAACTTTTTGACTTTTTTTACTTTTGTAAGAGAAAAAATGAAATGATTATGGTTTGGATGTGACATTTTGTCTTATTGACTTTTTAACCTATTTTGTCATTTTGTGGCTATTTCAGCCCAAGATTGGGATGCCAAACGAAGGCTAAGTGTTGGACGACTTGTATCTAGGGCTTGGATGTGTGGTCGAATCTTGGCAGCTGCACTTTCTGACTGACCTCTCATTGGCGGCAATGAGAGGTCTAGTTTGACCTTTAATGGAGTTTTTTTTTTTTTTTAAGAAAAAAAAAATTAGGGAAGAATTGTATGTTGTACGACTAAGAAACTGAAAACAAAGAAAAGAGAGGGAGCAAAAATGGATTGGTTGTAACTGAAAGAGAAAAGTTGAGTTTTATGACTTACCTTAACAGAAAAAGGAAAGTTGAGTTTTATAACTTACCTTCAGCTAAGGGGTTTTCACACTTTGGAAAGACTTTGAGTATAAGTTCTAGGTCTGAAGTTCCACATTTTTTAGAGTCAATTCTTAGGAGTTTAATGCAGTGGTCTTAGGATGGCCCTCTAAATGCTAGACGACCTATATCCAAGGCTTGGATGTGTGGTCGAATCTTGGTAGCTGCACTCTCTGACTGAAATCATATGTGCGTTGTGGAGTAAGTGCATACATCCGAGATTTGCCCCTCGGCCTACCCCTATTAATCAATATTAGGTAGTTGATTCTGAAGTCGGTGGAGAACAGGCTTAGGGAGTTTACTCGTTAACCAAAAAAAACTTACCTTCAATTTGTTTGGGTGAAAAATATTTTTTTTGTATTTTTTGGTGTTTGGTATATTAACAAACAAAAATTAATGGAAAATATTTTTCATGGTAAACAAAAAATAAGTCTATATAGGTACAAAATATTTTTCACTTTTTAAAGATGTCACCATACTATCACCGCTACTTTCACCTCCACGACCACACTATTGTCACTGTCACCAACACCGTTATCGCTATCCTACCACCATGCTACTACCTCCATATTCGTTTCACCGCCATCATCACTAAATATAGAAAAATGTTTTCTCGAAAAAATATTTTCTAAAAAATATTTCTCATTTGAAAATGTTTTTTTGCCGAAATAAATGAAGTCACTCATTTATCTTCCGTAGTTACTCATTTTACCTTTGCTCTTTTTTTATTTTATTATTATTTTTTTATTTTTTTTAAGGCTTCTTCCAATATTACATAGAACTTGAGAAACCTATGAAATTCATTATCGATATTATTGGTATTATTTTGATAAATTGAACTATTTATTTTTAAAAAATTTGTATATATTATCTATAAAAAAAATTAAATCGATCTAATAATTGTAGTATTTTTATATTTTAGTATTTATCCCCAAAAAATAAATAGTATATTATAAAAATTATACTTGTCATTTATTTTTTTAGAGACAAACTTGATAAAATGATAAACATTATGATTATTGAATCGACCTAATTTTTTTCATAGATAACATAAACTAAGAGTCCTACAAAATAAATGATTTATATCATCAAAATAAAACTCGTGATTGCCACTTTAAACTTGAGAGAAGCTTAATCAATTTTCTTTAATTTTTAAATGTCAATATTTTGGTTGATAATGTAAATACACCTAATCGATCATTCAGTTAAAAAATAAAATATTTATGAATAAATAGAAAAAAATATAAATGTACTATTTTTTGTAATTTTTCATATTTAGTGAATTTTAAAAAAAATTAAAAATATTTTTTAAATACATTTAGATTAAGTGAATTTAATTTTTTTAAATAATTAATATATACAAAAATTCACTAAAGATTATTAAAAAAAAAAAAGATGAAAACAAAAATCTCACAAAATAGTTTTTAAATTTCAAAACCAACTTTAAGAGTAATTTTTTAAAATATTTACTAATATATATGTACTTTTTTAAGGGAAAATTACAAGGTTGTTTTACAAAACAATTACTGAAAAACCTTAAGAGATTAATTATTAATGTACATGAATTTTCTAATTTTTTTTAAAAAAAATTATACTAAATAGTAATTGTTTATTTTTTTGATTAGATGTTTGGAGTGGCAATTTGTGTTCATTTGTTTTTTTTTTTTTTGGGAGGGTTGGGAATGGAATGGCATGGCAAGAATATTCTTAAGTTTACTATGGTCTAGTTTGAGAATTTGATTATCTTAGTTAGGCTTATTTTGGGGGTGTTTGGTGTAGATTATAAGGGGTGATTATAACTTATTTTAATTTGAGAATCTGTGTCATACTGTTTGGTGCAGTTTTTGCTTATATTTTTTAGGCAGAAATAGTTTAAATAAGTTGAAAAAAACTTATTATTTAGAACCTGGAGAAGAGGTGCTTTTGATTTTTGCTTTCTAATTATCAGCTTTTATCTTATAATAAGCTGCACCAAACAGCACCTTTGGCAAGTTGGCTAAAAGGTAGTTTTTTTTAACTTTTTGACTTTTTTGGTTACATCACCTCTCTATTTTTTACACATTTTTTCAAAAAAAAAAAGTAAAAAAAAAAAAACTAAAAAGTTGGCTTTTAACATACTTTTCAAAATACTCTTTAGTTTTTTGACTTTTTAATTATTTTAGTCAGAATAAAAAAGTTATGTTCAGGAAGATAAATAATTTTTTTTGTAGTTGATTTGATGGTTGTGAAAGAAAAAGTAAAATTATTATGATTTAAATATGATATTTTATCTTATTAACTAACTCCGCCGAGATTGTTAACAACTCCGCCGGTCCCAAGCCTGGGTTAAGGAGGAGGGTTGTGTGTTAGGTAGTCGACAACCAACACGTAAAAAAGCCACTCGGATCCCTTATGAAAATGAATCCTGCTTTGAATCGTTTAAATGCTAGATCGTTCCCCTCAAGTGACGCATTGCGCCTACCTCCGGGTGTTTCGAAAAGTGAGTAAGGGGCGCCGCATCGACGCCTAGGTGCGGTGAAAAATGGGCAAAGGTTTCCACGTTTTTCTGGACGAGCGCGAGTAAAGAAGCTAGTCCAAGACTATAGGTTTAGGATAGCCACTTGGAACATAGGAACCTTAACTGGTAGGACGATGGAATTGGTAGATGTTATGATTAGGAGGAGAGTTAGTATAGCTTGCATACAAGAAACTAAGTGGACGGGAGAGAAAGTTAGGGAAATTGAGGATACTGGTTTTAAACTTTATTATAGTGGTAAGGATAGACGCAGGAATGGGGTAGGAATCATAATTGCCAAGGGTCTTGTGGAAAGTGTGGTGGCGGTCACTAGGAAAGGAGATAGGATTATGCTAGTTAAACTA